GGGAGCCCGATGTGGGACTCGATCCCAGGATTCCAGGATCATGACCTGAGCCGAAGGCAGTCGCTTAACCAACTGAGCCACCCAGGCGCCCCAAAAGGGTATAGAATTCTAATATATTTTTCTCTCTCAGCACATTGAAAAGATTATTCTAACTTCCGTATTGCTGCTGAAAGTGAGCTGTCAGTCTAAGTTAGCACTGTCTAATACAACATTTTGTAATGATGGAAATGTTATATATCATCATTTAGTATAGTATTCACTAGCCACATGTGGCTATTGAGTACTTCAAATGTGACTGGTGTGACTGAGGAACTGGATTTTTAATTTTTATTTGATTTAGTTTTAAGAGCCATAGATGGCTAGGGGCTGATGTATTTGTGCAGATCTAATTGTAAATTGTTTTGTTTGTGTTACATGCAAATCCTTTTTAAGTGATCTCTTTTTGTCTTGATTGTTCTTGAGACTTATTTTGCTTTTGTGTTGTAATATTTTATAGAATGCTTAAAGGTGTAAATTTCCTTTTTATTTGTCATGTTTGAAATCTGTTGGCATCTAGGCTCTGAAGATTGGTGTCTTTCAACAACTGTGGACAGTCCTTTTCAGATATTGCCTCTTTGTCATTCTAGTATCTTCTTCTGCAATTCAATTAGACATCAATTAGAACTTGTCATTCTATTCTCCATGTCTCTTAATAGCTCTATCAATATTTCTGTTAGTCTCTCCAGGCTGAATTTTGGATAATATCTTTGATTTAATCTTCCAGTTCACTCATTTTTTGTTTTACTGTGTCTAATCTGCTTTTAATCCATTCATTGAAGTTTAAATTTTATTATATTTTTCTATAGATTTTTTTGGCCCTTTTTCAAAATTTATTCTTTGCTTTTTTAAAACTTTTATTTCTTTATTCATAGGATCATATATAATCTGTAATAACTTTAATGTTTGAAGTCTGTGAATGTAATTGTTTTTTTTCTGCTAAGTCTTATTTTCAGTGCCTTATTTCTTTACTAAGTTTCACTGTGAGCTCCTCATTTTTCTTGGAGCTCTGTATGTTGGAATTCTTTGGGCCCTGGGTTAAAGGTGGGTTTTTAAGAGTGGAATCTGCATTTGCTTCCGGTAGTTGACTGGGGACATTCCAGAATCACTTTGAATTAAATTCTCTGATTGAGAGTATTCTGATTGTATAGGAAGTATGGATCTGGACTGCAAATCTAGACCTGACCTGAGAGCTGGCTTATGGTTATGTTTTCTCAAGGGAGAATTCTTTTTTTTCCCCCTTCACCCTACACTAGTCATAACAGGCTAGTTTTCTTGCTGTCCCCTTCTGACCTGTAGGTTCATTTCTTATTCCTGCTTCCATGATGTGACTTTTTCCAGCACCTAGGTTTATTGCAGGAGCCTCCCTTTGGACCTCTCTTGGAAAACCCAAAGGCTCTATATCTTATGCTCTGCATTCCATGCAGCTATCTGGACAGAAAGTCAGGATTTCCAGTGTTAAATAGAACCCCAGGGTAAAAATCAGCTTTTTTAATCTCCCAGGATTGCTACCTTCACTTCATTTTTGGCCTATATGGAATTCTACTTTTCATTCCAGTGAATGGAAAACCCAAAGGCTCTATATCTTATGCTCTGCATTCCATGCAGCTGTCTAGACAGAAAGTCAGGATTTCCAGTGTTAAATAGAACCCCAGGGCAAAAATCAGCTTTCTTATCTCCCAGGATTGCTACCTTCACTTCATTTTTGGCCTATATGGAATTCTGCTTTTCATTCCAGTTCAGCAATACATTTTAAAAGATGTTTTTAATATTTTAATCAGAAGTTTAGCTGTTTCAGTTGGGACAATCATACAGGATTTCCAGTCTGTCATAGTGCCAGAAATAGAAATCATCCACCTTGTTTTCCTAGTCTTTGGTGGATGAGTGGCTGGATAGCTACAAGCAAGACCAGGACGCAGGATTCCTGGAGCTCATTAACTTTTTCATCCGATCTTGTGGATGTAAAGGTGAGGAAATTCCTACCTCTTTGTAATCCCTAGCCCTTTACTCCTATGTTAGGAAACTTTTGCTACATTTAGATGAGCGGGACTAGTTATTTTCTAAATAAAGGGAGAAAGTAAAGCATAAAAAAAGTTTCACTGATTCGACTACATTGTAGATTGGTAAATAGGTAAGTGATCCAGTTAGGGAACTATGTTGGTTTGGAGCTAAGACCCTTTGGGGAAAAATAACTAATCACACTAATGTGATGAAGATGATATTCATAAATTTGAAAATAGACCATTAGACATCTTTTAGTCTTCCTTTCTCTAGATGAGATAATTTTTTATTATTCCTTATTTCCTTAGCCATTTCCTTCCATATTTCTCCATTGAAGCTGTGGGCCCCCAGATCTCCAGAGGTCATGACCTAATTTATTGGGGCAAGATAATTTCAGGCAGGTTGTATTATAAGAATCCAGAATTGGTGTAGCTTTATTGCTTTATTTATTTATTTATTTTTAAAGTAGGCTCCACACCCAGCGTGGGGCTTGAACTCACTATCTTGAGATCAAGAGTCACATGCTTTACTGACTGAGCAAACCAGATGGCCCATTTGGATTTATTTTAAACCATTGTTTTCCATTGCTTTCTATTGCTTGATTCCTTGGGTTTTCTAGAGAGCTTGTTTTATAGCAGATACACAGTTGGATGGTAGCAGATATTATGACTAGGATTCAGGTTTTCTTATTCCCCACCTAAGCTCTTTTCAGTGTATTCTGTAGTTCATCTTCAGGTGTATATGCAAATGGTCACAGTGTCCTGTTATTTTTCTCTTAAGTACCTCATCTCCTCCATTCCTTAGGCAATGTGACCCCCGAGATGTTCAAGAAGATGTCCAACTCAGAGATCATCCGGCACCTAACAGAACAGTTTAATGAGGTGGAGGAAGACAACTAGGATTCTCTTGCCACTCTTATTTCAGAATATAAGGCCCATTATCCCCCTCTTTCTGATTTTGGGAAATAAGGGATAGCTTTTGGAAGGAGTTTAATTTCTTGGGGGCAAAAGGGACCCATAGATGTTATCTGAATATGCCTCTAGAGTTGAGAATAGCAGGAAATGAGGTATACCTGAGATACATTTTTACTATACTATTGGGTTTTGACATCCCGAGTCCCTATGGCTTCATAGACTTGATAATACTTTTCTCATCCTTTTCATAAATCCTTCTGTAGGACTCAGGAGACTATCCCCTGACAGCACCAGGTCCATCCTGGAAGAAGTTCCAGGGCAGCTTCTGTGAATTTGTGAAGACGTTGGTCTATCAGTGCCAGTATAGCCTTCTCTATGACGGCTTCCCCATGGACGACCTCATCTCCCTGCTCACCGGCCTCTCAGACTCCCAAGTCCGTGCCTTCCGTCACACTAGCACCCTGGCGGGTGAGCACTCACTTTTACTCTATAAATGTTCTCGGGGAGATTTCCTCTGTTCTTTGGTCCTGGATCTTCTTTCTTACCTCTGTCTTAGCTCTTTATTTCAAGGGCAGTCTTCTTACACTTCAGTCAAGTTTCTCACTAGTGGTATTATAGAAAAGGGCAGATTATAGTGACAATTTTCAGCCTAAACTTTTTTCCTCATAGCTCACCTGCTGGGAATATGCTAAGGATTAAAAGAAGGCCAAAAAAGAGAAAAAAAGGTCCACTCCAGAACAGTCAGTCTTCAGATGTTAGGGTCACCCTGCTCTAGCTTTTTATTTTTATTGCCCTTCCTTTTTCTTTTCCTTTCCTTTCCTTTCCTTTTCCTTTCTTTTCTTTCTCTTCTGTTTTTTGGTGGCAGTGGTGGCAGCAGCCATGGTAGCTTTCCCCCAGCTGCCCCACTTCCTGCTTCCTCCTCCTCTTCCCACTGAAACCACAAGAAGCTTTTTTTTTCTTTTGTGAACCTGTCCTCGCTCCTCTGACCTAAGTAGTAATTCCCTTTTCTTGTTTTTCCTGGCTCAAAGCCATGAAGCTAATGACCTCCCTGGTAGGAGTTGCCCTTCAGCTGAGTCTGCACAAAGACAATAATCAGCGACAGTATGAGGCTGAACGAAATAAGGGGCCAGGACAGAGAGCACCTGAGCGGCTGGAGAGCCTGTTGGAGAAACGCAAAGAAGTAAGAAGTGTTTCCTGCCTCTTCCTTCCCTTTCTCCCAGCTTTCATCCACTGCTGCTGCAGGCCATCTTAGCAGTGCCCGAGCACTTCTCTTTGGTAAGACACAGGCCCCTATGCAACCTTTCAGGCCATGAACAGTGGAGTCTAACAGTCTTAATAGACCCATCCTGTCAGAGGTCATTGCATGCTTATCTTGTTTCTGGAATGTGAGCTCAATGAATTATTTCTAATTTAGAGTAAATTTCAGAGTTCTTTATAATTCCACTTTGGCTTAGTTTTCATTGTCTACATTCATTATCAGAAATGTGTTTAAGTGTTGTGCTTGCATCTCGTGCAGGCAGTTAATTTTTGACCTGGTCAAGTATACAGTCTGCAGGTCACCGCAGGAGTATTAAAGGCCAGCCACTGACAAGGGAGGCCAACTGTTCAAGGACTGGAAAGCAATAGGCCTTTCATTCACTCCTGGGTTTGTTCTGTTCCAATTAGCTACTAGTTCCGTGGCCTTATGTAACCTCTAAGCTTCCGTTTCCTTTTCTTTAAAAAGGGGATAACTCTACCATTTTATGAAGATTAAATGAGAGGGTGAGTGAATTGCCTAGTCTGGCACGTAGTAGGTATTTGCTTTATTTCCTTTCAAACTTAAAGACCACCGGATGACATAGCCCTAATAAAATCTTTTACATCGATTAAACCTTCAAACAGCTATGTCTGTCACAAGACACTGATTTCCCCCCTACTCTCCAGCAGTGTCTGAGACTCCCCGAGCATGAGGTTGGCAGGACTCCCCATGTGTCACTGCATCAACTGACTGTTTTCCCACCCCTCACCAAGGTCTCTTCCATGGTAAACCTTCTTTCCTCACTCTCACTATATTCAGTGTCCGTATGATCTTAAACCTTATGTACTTAAGGTTTGTTTCAGGCCTTAAATTGAGTCTACCACCATGAATCTTTTATTTGTCTTGTCTAGGCTCTTGTTTTATCGGTTATTCTCTTTTGGTTTTTATTTTTCATTTATTTTGTATTTTTTATTTATTTTATTTTTATTTTTTAAAGATTTTATTTGACAGGGAGAGTGCGAGCGCACTAGTAGGCAGAGTGGCAGGCAGAGGGACAAGCAGATGCCCCGCTGAGCAGGGAGCCCCACGTGGGACTCGATCCCAGGACCCTGGGATCATGACCTGAGCCGAAGGCAGATGCTTAACTGACTGAGCCACCCAGGCGCCCCTATTTTGTATATTTTTTAAAGATTTTATTTGAGAAGGAGAGGGAGCACGAGCAGGGGGAGGGGGAGGGGCAGAGGAAGAAGTAGACCCCCGATGACTAAGGAGCCCAGGCCCTCGGGATCATGACCTGAGCTGAAGGCAGCCACCCAACTGACTGAGCCACCCAGGCACCCTCGGTTTGGTTTTTAATCGCTCCCTCCCCACTGTTTTCTGCTCTTCATGTATAAATAAATGTCTGTGGGCCCTTGATCCTTTATTCTTCTTCTCTATGAAGTATTCCATCTCTGTCCTTCTTTTTAGTATTTCCTTACTTCCTTAATTTCCAACAGAATCCTTTTTTGCTACCTAGCTTTTTTTTGAAATTATTCTCTCCAAACCAGTGACTTCCTAATCCCTGTGGTCAATGGCCTTTTTTCAATCTCCTTTCTCCAAACTTCTGTAGAATTTGGTACTGATGACACACTTTTCCTCCTTCCTTCAATCCCTCTTTCTCCTTTTCTTCATTTTTTATTTTTATTTATTAGTTTTAAATATTTTATTTATTTGACAGAGTGCGCCAAGTGAGCGCACAAGCAGGGGGAGCAGCAGCCGGAGGGAGAGGGAGAAGCAGACTCCCCACTGAGCAGGGAGCCCGAGGTGGGGCTGGATCCCAGGATCCTGGGATCATGACCTGAGCTGAAGGCAGACGCTTAACTGACTGAGCCAATTAGCCTCCCCCCTTTTCTTATTTGAGAAAGAGAGTGCATGCCTGCATGCGCGTGTGGGAGGAAGTGGGGGGGGAGGAGGAGAGAAAATCCTCCAGCAGACTCCCTGCTGAAGCACAGAGCCTGGACACAGGGCTCTATCCCAGGATCCTAAGATCCTGACCTGAGTCAGATCAAGAGCCTAAACCAACTGAGCCATCCAGGCGCCCCTTCCTTTTTTTTCAATATGAAAATTTCTAAACATTCTGAGAAATAGGGACACTGGTAGAGTGAACACTGTATACAAATTATGTAGATTTAACAACTAATATTTCACCATATTTGGCTCATCTGTTTTTTTGATATAGTAAATTATAAACATACTGGTATTTCCACCTAAAGACTTAAACTATGTACTCTACAAAAATATTTTAAAAAGTCATCTAAAAAATTATCCCCACATTAACCCAATACCATTTTCACATTCAAAAATATTAATAATCCTTAATATTTTCTAACCCCAATTCATATTTAAATTTCTCTATGTGTCTGCAAAATGCCTTTTATAGTTGAGTATTTCCAACCAGGATTTAATTAAGGATCATGCATTGTATTTGTTGTATTTCTTAAGCCTCTTTTAATCTTATATAGAACTTCTGCCTCCCCCATTTTCCTCCCAGTATGTTGATTTATTGAAGAGGTAGGGTCAGTTGTCTTAAAAAATATTTTCTTATAATTCTGCTTCCTTGTTGTTCTTGTAATTCTCCTTATCCTTCTGCTTCCTTAATATCTATCATTCATCTAATCCAGGGTTTCTCAACAATGGCGCAATTGACACAGGAGGTTGTCTTGCCATTCCAGGATGTTTAACAGCATCCGTGGCCTCCATCCACCAGATGGCAGTAGTACCCCCTCCCAAGAGTGACCACCAAAAAATTGTTTTCAGAAGTTGCTAAATGACCCCCGAGGGGCCCCAGTTGAGAACCACTGATCTAATCTCTTTCCTCTCTTTTTCTGCTAGTTCTACTTTTTTTGTCAAACTACATTTATTAAAAATTCATTTTCTCAACTGTTGTTAGTCGAAAACGTATGTAACTACCAGCTAGCTCCTGTAAATAGCCAAAGATAGCCAGAATAACCAGACCCAGAGGGGAATATTATTTTTTTACAAAAACAGAGAGACCTCTGAGGCATTAGTTGGTTATATAGCTTCTTCTAGAATTAGAAGGTTTTCAGGGGTTCAGACTGTGTCCTGTAATAAATAAGAAGTAGATGGGGGCGCCTGGGTGGCTCAGTCGTTAAGCGTCTGCCTTCGGCTTGGGTCGTGGTCCCAGGGTCCTGGGATCGAGCCCCACATTGGGCTCCCTGCTCTGCGGGGAGCCTGCTTCTCCCTCACCCTCTGCTTGCCTCTCTGCCTACTTGTGCTCTCCCTCTCTCTCTGTCAAATAAATAAAGAAAATCTTTAAAAAAAAAAAAAAAGTAGATGGAAGTCATACTTTACTATACTTCTGTGGCCTTATGCCAGTGGGGCACAAGAAGGATTGACCTGTTCCTCCCTGTCCTCCAGCTCCAAGAGCATCAAGAGGAGATTGAGGGGATGATGAATGCCCTTTTCAGGGGTGTCTTTGTGCATCGGTACAGGTGAGTCAATGGGCTCCTCTCTTTGAAGCAGCTGGTCCTTGGTTGTAGAATCTGTAAAAGTAGCAAGGCCGCTCTCCTGACCCTGGTTATTTGGTGAGTCCTAGCACTAATGCAGCTGGAGCAAAAACTCTGACAACAGATGTTTTGAATTAGTAAGGTTTAGTTCATCCCCAACTACAAAGGCTCTTGTAAGCTCTTTTGGGAGAGAAAATAAGAGAATAAGGCATTGTTGATATTATTCTGCTCCAACTTTGCAGAAGACTTTCCCATCCACATCTTCCTGGGACTGGAGATCCAGGAAGACAAGAGGACAAGAGCAAAGAGCCAAAAGGCGGGCTTTCCCAAGGACATGCAACTTGGCAGGCCTTTTCCTAGCCCAGCCTGCCATGTCACTGTGCTAAAAACGGGAGTTTTACACCGTTTAAAAGAACTAGTGGAATTAAGTTAAAAATAGCATCCATATTTTTTTTCACTCTTAACTAGATTTCAGCCTCTGCCTTTCCAGAACTCTTCAGCTGATTTAATCTTTTCTTCAAGTGGAAGTTTGGCCGACGGTTAAATTAACTTCCAAAATCAGTTTTAAAAGGGGCAAGGAGGATAAGCTCAATAATTTTATGCAGTATTACAGACAAAATGTTTATTTTTTATGTATTTACATTGGGAGGAGAAGATGAAAGGCATGGGGCAGGGTATTTAGTGAAGAAAATAGATTCTTCTATGGCAGGAAGATGTGTGGGAGGATGGAAAGTGAGTTTGGAAAGAAGGTGATAGGGGGTCAGTTTCTCTCTCTGTGCCTAGGGATGTCCTTCCTGAGATCCGTGCTATCTGCATCGAGGAGATTGGGTCTTGGATGCAAAGCTACAGCACATCTTTCCTCACTGACAGCTATTTGAAATATATTGGCTGGACCCTGCATGATAAGGTGCGTGTCGAAGTCTCTCTTTTCCTTTTCCCCTTACCCTCTTCCTGCCCTAAGATGCTGCAGCTTTTCCTGGTTCTGCCATTTGGAAGCTTCACTAGTGGTCAGCCCATCAAGGAAGACAGTGGACCTCAAAACTCCCCAGTATTGGGTAGGATAAGGCAAAAGAGAGAAGGCTACATCCAGGAGATGGAACACCTCAAAACCAGAGTACAGAGAGAAAGACTTTCCCTAGGAAAAAGTAAGAAAGCTAGGAAAAGCAAGAAATGGATTGGTAAGACAAGTGCTAGGGTGGTAGCCAAAAGGTCTTTTTCATTATGATTGTTAGATTCTGCTGTGATCCTCTTGTTTGTTATCTCTGAGTCATCCCCAGGTCCTCAGCATGCAGGACACCAAGGCCCAGAAAGAGTAATCTACCGGAGGGGTTATGAAGGCCCAGTGGGGGTTAAGTAGAGGAATAGTCAGTCATATTTCCATTTTCCTTGATAGCATCGAGAAGTCCGTCTGAAGTGCCTGAAGGCTCTAAAAGGGCTGTACAGCAGCCGGGATTTGACTGCCCGCCTGGAGCTCTTTACCAGCCGCTTCAAGGTGAAATCGGGACAGTACTCTTGTGCTTGGCTCTGTCTTGTGGTTCCCATTTCCCCACCTCGTCTTTCCATTCCTATTGCTCTTATGTGTCTATGGCTATCCCAGCATCTGCCTCCACGCCTTCTCTTTAGGAATCTCTCAAATTCTATGAGAGCATGATGTTTGGGGATGGGTACAATGAAGTATTGAGCGATGTGTTCTTTCCTTACAGGACCGGATGGTTTCCATGGTCATGGACCGAGAGTATGATGTGGCAGTGGAGGCCGTCAAGTTACTAATACTTATCCTGAAGTGAGTCCTGGGGAATGGGGAGGCATGCATCTCAGAGTCTGACCTTTCCAACATCAGACAGGCCCTTCTAGAGTCCTTTCCCTCCACCTATCGTAAGTTGACACTTTCTTATGTACAGGTTGAAAGACAGAGGTCATTCCTGAGTTGCAGGATCTCCAGGAAAATTTCCTATCTTCTCTAATTCTCTATACTCCTCTGTCTTCTACTCGTCATTTAAAAGTTCTTTGTCAGTTAATCTTCATTGCTTTTTTTTTTTTTATTTTTGGTTCCTCTGGATTGTTCCAAATCCTCATTTGCCTCTCTTTATTTCTAGCCTTAGTTGTGCTAGAGGACAACATCCATAACCACCTGCTTTTTATTCTTTTGTCTTGGCAGGAACATGGAAGGGGTGCTGACAGATGCAGACTGTGAGAGCGTCTACCCTGTTGTGTATGCCTCTAATCGAGCCCTGGCGTCTGCTGCAGGGGAGTTTCTGTACTGGAAGTGAGTAGGGGCCTCTCATTTGTTCCTATGGCGCTGTCTGTTTTCTCTCCTGCATCTGCTTCTGCTCTTCCCAGGGACCACCCACCATACCCATTAAAGTCTCTTTTGGTGTTGCCTTCCCCCTCTCAACTCCTTGAGGCTTTCCCTGGCTCTGCACCTCTTTCCCTTACAGCTCTCCTTGGACTCTTTCTTTCCCCCATCGTGATTATTCCACTCCTCATTTGCTCCAGTGCGTGGCTCTTTCCCCATGTTCGTTCTACCAGGCTCTTCTACCCTGAGTGTGAGACTAGAACAGTGGGTGGGAGACAGCGACGCCGAAGTCCACGCGCCCAGAGGACTTTTTTCCACCTTCTGCTGTCCTTCTTTGTGGAGAGTGAGGTGACGTATGGGAAGGAGTTATTTGGCTGTTGTGCATAAGACCTGCTGGTGGAAAAGGATGGGAGCTGGCACTGCAGGAAGGAAAGACATGGTTTATCAGTATTTACCAGAATTTTCTAACGTGGCTTCAATAACTTAATAGGCACCTTTTTCAAATGAAATCTTATCATTTGAAAGGACATGGGTGGAACTAGAGGGTGTTAATGCTAACTAAACGAAGTAAGTCAATCAGAGAAAGAAATCATATCATATGATTTCACTCGAATGTGGAATTTAAGAAACAAAACGGAGCATAGGGGAAGGGAAGGAAAATAAAAATAAGACGAAATCAGAGAGGGAGACAAACCACAAGAGACTCTTAACTATAGGAAACAAACTGAAGGGTGCTGGAGGGGAGGGGGGGTGGGGGTAAGGGGGAACTGGGTGATGGCTATTGAGGGCATGTGATGTAATGAGCACTGGGTGTTATATGCAACTGATGAATCACTGAATTCTATCTCTCAAACTCAATGATACACTATATGTTAACTAATTGAATTTAAATAAAAAAAATTTTTTTAATTTAAAAAAAAATGTACCTTTTTCCACAGCTCCATGACCACGCTGCTTACTTAGTAGACAGCCTGTGGGACTGTGCAGCGTCTCAGCTGAAAGACTGGGAGAGTCTCACAAGTCTGCTGCTGGAGAAGGACCAGAGTGCGTGCCGTGTGATAGTGGGAGGAGGGGACCTTTCACCTCCTAGTAGGAAACCAGGAGTCTTAATAAAGGCAGAGGTGTCATGGGCAGTGGGATTTGGAGTGACCTGGAGATGGAGGGTGGCTAATTTGTGATTCTGTGTTTTTCATCCTTCTGCCAACCCAGACTTGGGAGATGTGCAGGAGAGCACGCTGATAGAAATCCTTGTGTCCAGCGTTCGGCAAGCTTCAGAGGGTCACCCGCCTGTGGGGCGGATTACTGGGAGGAAGGTATGGCATGAAGGGTGGGTGGGTTGGTTAGCAATATTAAATCCAGATAGGCATTGTTCATCTTTATCCTCAAGTGTTGGGTTAGGGTGCCACTTCTCTGCCCCTCAAAGATTCCCATTTCTAGAAAAAAGAGATCTGAAGGAGCTGCCAAATGAATTCTCTCTTCCTTCCAGGGCAGATAAGATTGTAGGGAAGAGGGATACACATCCACACTCTCTGGACCCACTGTTTTTCTACATCTTTCCCTCCATCCCCCAAATGATTAATTCCAGGGCTTAACCCCAAAAGAACGGAAGATCCAAGCCGATGACAAGGTGAAGCTGACGGAGCACCTCATCCCCCTGCTCCCCCAGCTCCTGGCCAAGGTAGTGCTGCCCCACCATTCAGTATCTGGGAATGAGCAGTGAATGGAAGCGGCCTCCAGTGAGGACTGGGAGTAGGGCTTAGCATATATGAGCTAGTAAGTAGTTCTCCCTCTCATCCCTGCAGTTCTCAGCTGATGCAGAGAAAGTTGCTCCCCTGCTCCAGCTTCTCAGCTACTTTGACCTCAACATCTACTGCACTAGGCGCTTGGAGAAGGTGAGGAGAGAGGAAAATATAGTTCTTATACAGTGCTGCTTCCTTGCTAGGGCCAGAGGTTCTACTGCCAAGATCTGGTTCTTCTCAAGAACCTGGGTTCCAGAAAAATCAGTAAGTCTTACCTTTCATAGGCATTCTATCCTTTAAGTTTAATGCTTTCAACTATGTATTTTTTATCTCCCACAGCTCTCCTCCCCTCCAGAAGACTTGCCCCCCCTCCCTTGCTCCCCCGCAACACTATTTTCTCTCACCTCTTTCTGTCAGCATCTGGAGCTGTTCTTACAGCAACTCCAGGAGGTGGTAGTGAAGCACGCAGAGCCCGCGGTGCTTGAGGCAGGTGCTCATGCCCTCTATCTGCTCTGTAATCCTGAGTTCACGTTCTTCGGCCGGGTAGACTTTGCCCGCAGCCAACTGGTGGATCTGCTGACTGACCGCTTCCAGCAGGAACTTGAAGAGCTGCTGCAGGTAGGACCTGGAGCTGAAAGATGGGACACCCCAAACTTGGGTCAGAGAAGGCCACAAGATGGGGAACGTGGATCTGTGAATTCTCGGGAAAATCCCACTGTGGATCTTCTTCCTTCCTCAGTCATCTTTCCTAGATGAGGATGAGGTGTATAGTCTGGCAGCCACTCTGAAGCGCCTCTCTGCCTTCTACAAGTGAGCAGCTCACCTCTGTTCCTTCTCCTGTGTCTGTCGGTGTCTGTGGTGTTGATTCCTGAGTAATGTTTCCCTCTCCTCCCCAAAGTGCTCATGATCTGAGTCGCTGGGAGCTCTATGAGCCATGCTACCGGCTCCTCCGGAAGGCTGTGGACACAGGAGAGGTTCCTCACCAGGCAAGTAGACGAGTCCAAGATGAGTCTGAGAGGAACATTTCAGGGTTCTGGGTTCTAGGTGGCCAACAATGCCAGGCAGTCCCAGTCCCGGGAGTGTGGAGTAGACCCAGGAGGAAAGTCGTGTGCACGTTGTGCCTTCCGTTCCACTCTAGAAGGTGAACTGTACTTTCCGGTGCCTGAAAACAGCCACCCTCTCCCTTTTCCTGGGAGTAAAGGGTAACATTGAGGGATTCTAGGAGATGACAGATAAATAAGGAAGAGGTGGCATGCCTACCCAAGACAGAATTCTCTGAAGATTGTCCAGATTCAGTGCTTTTTTCCCCCCAGAGAAGGAATCAGGTGTCCCCTAATCTCATTTTCTCTCTTCACTGCTTTTGTTTCTCTTCACTGCTTTGGGTGTGTGTTGCCTATTTGTCTTTCCCTTTCTTTCTCCCTCCCTCCCTATCTGCTCCTCACTCTCCTGATCTCCATCTTTGTAACGTTTGGTTGTTACAGGTGATCCTGCCAGCCTTGACTCTTGTCTATTTTTCCATTCTCTGGACACTAACCCACCTTTCTGGATCAGGTGCTTCCCAGGTGAGTCTGAGTCTGAGTAGGGACAATGGGAATGGAAAGGCCTGTGTCTCCATTCCTCCTCATTAAGCCACTGTCTCCACAGAAGCACCTGTTGAGTTTGAAGGGCAGGATGGTGGCTTTCTGCGAACTCTGCCAGAGTTGCCTCTCAGATGTGGATTCGGACATCCAGGAGCAGGTTGGCATGTACTCGGGTGGGACCAAGGAGGCACGCCTCTCCCTGTGGTCCGAGGAAGCCTTGTTCTAAGGGGGAGATTAGCTGCGTAATTTCTGTCTCGATCAATATCCTGTCCTTTTTAAGCATTCTCTTTTTCCCAACAGGCTTTTGTTTTATTAAGTGATCTACTTCTCATCTTCAGCCCTCAGATGATCGTAGGGGGTCGTGATTTCCTTAGACCTCTTGTCTTTTTTCCTGAAGCTACTCTCCAGTCTGAACTAGCCAGCTTTCTCATGGACCACGTCTTCATCCAGCCTGGAGAACTGGGCAGTGGTACAAGGACTCAATACCTGGGGCTCAGGAAGGGTCTGGGGCTTGGGCCTGCCTCAGGCATTTGAGGGCAGGAGTCCTAAATCGGTGGTTCTGATATTTCCATTCTGCATTTCATGTGAGCCAGGTCATTCCCAGGAGGATCATCTACAGATAGAACAGCTGCACCAGCGGCGCCGCCTCCTGGCTGGGTTCTGCAAACTCTTGCTTTATGGGGTCCTGGAGATGGATGCAGCCTCAGATGTGTTCAAACACTACAACAAGGTGGAGTGGAGTGACATCAGGCTGAGGACAGCTGGAACTTCAGACACTGGAGCACTCTGGGAAGGAGGGTGGGGGAGATGATGCTATCAGGCTTGAAGGGAAAGTGCAAGGAAGAAGGCAACAGGAGTTTGGAATAAAGGGACAAAGAAGAGTCAGTAAATAATCATGGGAAGAAAGCTGTTAGGAGGAAATTCATTGGAAAGAAAATCTTACTCTTTCTGTCCAGAATCTTTTTTTTTTTTTCTGTGAATGCAGTCTCCATAAACTGGGTGTAATATAAGAAGAAAAAAAAGAATGGAAGAGGTATCAATCCTTACAAGATATCTAGATGTGTACCGCAGTTTCCTTGACTCACCATTGTATTGATTTATGTTTATTTTGAGCACTTACTCTGGGCCAGATACCATTCCAGGCACTAAGGACACAGCGGTGAGCAACACAGAGTAAAGTTCCTGCTTCACGGAGCCTCCCTTCTAGTGGGGGAGAGGCAAACAGTGAAGGCTTCAGTGCTGCAAAGAGAGCGGACGGTGGCAAGCTTATTACTCTTCTTCCCCAAGAAATGGGCTCAGGGCAGAGTTGCTTCCCTTATTTTTTTGTCTAAACTCTGATGTCTTTGGGCCCGGACCTGTTGGCTAGAGAGGAGGTCCAGTTGTTTTATACTTCAATTCATGTTTCCTGACCTAAGGTACTTTAGGAAGGACACATGATGAGTGTAAAGGAAGAAACAGAATGGAATGTCTTGTTTTGTGGTCAAACATTATCTTCTCCATTTCCTGTCCCTCAGTTCTACAATGACTATGGTGACATTATCAAGGAAACACTAACTAGAGCAAGGCAGATTGACCGGAGTCATTGTTCCCGAATCCTGCTGCTGAGCCTCAAGCAGGTACTCCCTTCTGCCTAGAGCACCTCAGGCCTATGATATGCCCTCCCTGTAGCCCACCAACTGTCTGCTCACCCTCAGCCATGTAGGGTGTGAGAACCTTACAAACAGGAACTAATTTATTTTGACTCTACTTGACAGTCTCCTTTGTAACTAGTAGGTCCGTGGAAAGTATTAGCTGAGGGGCAGTTTCCACCCTAACTCCATAGAAATTCAACTATATTAGGACATAGGAGCACCATCAGTAAGATGATAGAAATTCTTAATTTTCTTCTAGTTTGTTGTCTCTTAGTCCCTTCAGTTACTTCAGACATTTGTTTTGTTCTAGAGCAAGGGTGAAGACTCTCTGTGCTGCAGGGGGTCAGGGGTAGGGACAGTGTCCTGGCAGGAAAGAGTAAAAGTAGCAGATGGCTTCCCAAGCCCTTTAGAATCAGCTGAGAAGGGAATGCTGTACTTCTCTATTTCCACTTTGTTCCTCCCTTTCCCAAATGTACCATGTTTCCTGGACACAGTTGTACACAGAACTGCTGCAGGAACAGGGGCCCCAGGGCCTGAATGAGCTTCCAGCCTTCAATGAGATGAGGGACCTGGCCCGAAGGTTTGCCTTGAGCTTTGGACCCCAGCAGCTACAGAACCGTGACCTTGTGGTCACGCTACACAAGTAAGGAAGTATTGGTTGGAGGTCAGCGTACTTGGATCTTTCTAAGAGGGTGAGCCAGAGGCTGTGTACAGGGAGAACGGAAGTCTGGTTTTGGATGGAGGGATAAGCATGTTGAGAAGGAGCAATCAGTTTGGCCAGTGGGTATTCTCTGGGAGACAAACTGAGGGCGGGGAGGGTGCACTTGGACAGGATGCTTCAGCCCTGGGAGGCAAGTGAGGAGGGACTATCTTCCTAAAATAATTCTGCTCAACCAAGGGAAGGCATCAAATTCTCCTTGTCTGAGCCTCCTCCAGCTGGCTCCTCCGGTCAGCCCCCAAACCTGGCATTCCTGGAGCTCCTTTCCGAGTTTTCCCCCCGACTCTTCCATCAGGACAAGCAGCTGCTGTAAGTTAGTGGGTGGGTGGATAATGACGTGGATTAGGGAAGAAGGGAATGGTGAGGGCCCTGCGAGCAACTCAGCCTCTTCGTCCCACCCCTTCCTTAGACTGTCCTACCTGGAAAAGTGTCTGCAGCGTGTCTCCCAGTCACCTGATTGTCCCTGGGGTCCAGTCACCACCTACCGCCACTCCCTCAGCCCTGTGGAGAACACAGCAGAGGCCAGCTCCCAGGGCTACCCCCGCTCCAAGAAGAGGCGCACTGAAGGTAAAGTACTGTGTGTGTGGGTATCAGGGTACTCAGCATTACTTCCTTTCTTTAGAGCCAGTTCTTAGATAAGCAGCATATGGTCTTTTGCCTCCTTCAAACTTTTGTCTTTGGTCAAATATTTCACTGAGCATCTGTTGTCATTAAGCGGTATTCATTTTCTTCAAGGTTTATCTGCCAAGTAAAAATAGCAAACCTTTGTGAAAAATAAAATAGAAACTGATGATAAAACCAAAGATTGAATGAAGAAATCTGTACATTTAGGGAGCCCCTCCTTGCATCTAGTATTCTGTTATTTTCCAGACTTTAAAGATTTTTACACAACCTTCATGATTTTTTTTTTTACTTTCAGATCACTACTTGTCTTATAATCTAAGGTTTTTTTCTTTAATTTTTTTTAATATAGTTTCATTTTATGTGATAATATCCTAGAAATCACAAGTTTGATGAGTTATGTGTTTTCAAGTGAACATTTTAAAATACTCATTCTCCCCATCTCTCAGCCGTAGTCAGAATCAGTCATCTACTTCCTGTCTCTGGATTTGCCTATTCTAGACATTCATATGGTGAAATCATACAGTAGGTGGCCTTGTGTGGCTGCCTTCATTCACCCAGCAGAATATTTTCAAGGTTCATCCATGTTTTAGCATAT